GGAGATGCAGATTACCTCCCGTTTGAATAAAAATCAGTTGGCCCACACAGGCTGATAGGAATGCACCTCGAATTTCAGCATCTCAAAATCATTACCTTTTATACCACCTAATTACTGTTTTCCCCAGGCTGCTACCTGGCCCTAATCACTAACACACGCCTTTCCAAGTCCCATTGCCAAGAGTCAATATACTTCTGGGGAAAACCATCATCATAAAAATTACTGAACTTATGAAAGGCTTTTCCTGGACAAAGTGATTTACAAACATTAATCACTGTTCAAGAGTCGGTCCCCACGCAATACAGCATTCCGTTCCAGAAAGGAGTGTCAGGTGCGCGCAGGCTCCGCCCCGCGCTCTCGCTGGCCTACGGGCACCTGCGGATGGGAGGGGGGAGCGCGCAGCAGCGCCCGGCGCAGCGTCTCCCTCAGCCCCCCCGCGCCATCCCTGCCCCTGCCCCACTGGCACCCGCTCCCTGCAGCTCAACGTCCCTGGGAGCTGCTTCTGCCCTGACCGCACCCTGGGCCAGAGGAGCGTCTTCCCAGGGGGTGAATCACCAGATTGTAGTAGATGTTTGCGAAAAGAGGAGAATGATTTAGCATTTCTGTTGTTTTCTCAAAAACAACTGCTTTCCATTTTACTCTTTAAATTTATCCCAAGACTATATTATTTCACCACAATCTGGAGGTCAGGTTGGCTTATTATTTTAGTCAGGTTTATCAAAAATACTTATTTTCCTGAGGACACTAAGGGAAAACAAATTGTCCCACCAGCTGGCTATATAAATCAGTTCTGAAAGCAAAATATGTGTTTTAAGCATCATTTTCTCCACCCAGGACTGTACTGAACACTGGCAAGAACAGGAACATTAAAAACAATGAGGGGACCAACCAGCTTTTTAAATGAAAATTATTTAGCTATAAAGACATGAAAGAAAGCCTAATAGCTAGCTACTATATATGATTTAATGAAAACAAATTTAATAGAAAAAATTAGAATGCAAAAAATCTCCAAATTTTAAGATAATAAAAAGTGCAGGATTTGGATATTCTTTTTTAAGGTTCTCTTCATCAGAAGGTAGACCAGATTTCTTAGATCTGTGGCTGCATGAGGTCCACCAACAGGATTCCACAGAACTCAGACGCTTTCTCAGATACTTTCACTCAGTACAGAAAGATCTTGACAAACCGTACTCGACACGTTTGTCTTACTAATTTGAAGATAAGGAGATGAAAGGAATAAAAGTATAAAAACTAAACAGCAGGGATTTTGAGACTTCCAACTTTCTCTGATGTTTTAAATAACAATATCTTCTAAGATATACCTAACCAACTTGTAAAGCATTCTCCTGCTTTCAGAATCGTTGAACTGATTTATATAAAGTAACCTACCCTTTGCCAAGTAAGAATATTTTAAAAGTGAACTCAGAAAGTGAACTAGTGTTTATGCTCAGCTGTTTCATCCCAGAATGGACATTTCACCACAACAAGCAGAAGGAAGTCACCCTCTCCCAAGTACCTCATATATGATTTATTTCTGAAATCTCACCCCGCGGAATTTGTCTCCTTTTTCCACTGACCAGCGAATGCTTTATCATAGGCGTGCAGTTGGGGACCATGGAAATAAGCAGTTCTCAGAGGAGAGTGGAGCTGGGCCAGAATCCCGGGGGGCTCCTCGTGGGAAGCAGACCCGCGGTTTACCTGTCGCTTCAGTAACGTCGAGTCCGGCAGAGGACGCCCGGCAGGGTCCCGCGGCGGAGGGCGGGGGGGGGTGCTGCAGGCCCGGCCATGGAGGGCGTGCGGCGCCGCCTCGTTCCCCGAGCGCCCGTGGCTGCGGCTTGGGAGAGGAGCCCGGGGCTTTGCCGGGACCCAGCACTGCATTCGATCTGGGTGGCCACGTTTTACACACGGCTGAGCAGACGGAGACGACTATTTCAATAATGTTATCACACGTTTGACGGTTTTAGAACAAATCATTTAAAACAGTCAAAAAGGGTCCCCCAATGTTACTTTTTGTGTCAACTTGCCCAGGCCGCGGGGGGCTCATATGTTCGGATAAGCAGTGTTTGGGGGTGTCTGGGAGGCTGTTTCGGGGTGAGGGGACCTTTGAACCAGCAGGCTGGGCGCAGCTTGGCTCTCCCCGACGCCAGCGGGCCCCGCCTGCCCACTCGAGGCCGAGCCAAGCCAGCGATGCCTAGGAAAGAGTTCTTTCTCCCTGACAGAGGGAAAGAAAGTTCTCGCACTGGCTGCCCCGGAGCGAGACTCAGACCGGAGCTAACCCGCGGCTCTCCAGGGTCGCATCAGTGCCGATCCGTTCCTTGTCACCTCTCTCTTTCTCTCATATTATGCATAGGCTTCTAGAAACACCTGGGTTGAGCCAAACGTACAGCTCCATAGCAAATGCAGTAGCAACGCTGGCATACGGGGAGCACAGAACTTGGCGTCCCAAGATGGGGCGTCGATGGAGAGATGGGAACAGAGAGGCTCAGAAACAATCCATTCATGTATGGGGGGTAACGGCCACATCGTTGCCTCTGGAACCCGAATAAATGCAGGCCGCCGCCCCCGGCCTGCCCTTGCCCTCAACCGTCCTGGGCGCCCCCTCCTGTGAACAGGACGAGCAGGTGTGTGGCTGGCTCTGTGGTCAATGTTTCCCAGGCAGCCTAGAGCTTTAGGTGAAGCGCCACATTTCCCTCCTCAGCTGTCCTGACCCTCGTCCCCCCCTTCCCTGGCTGTTGCCAGGCATAGCCACGTGTTTTCTCCTCCCTGTAAAGAGCATGGGAAAGAGGCACGGTGTCCCTAAAAGTTGGTAACAGCAACAGGCTCGGCCAAGAAAAGGATCCCTAGAAATCCTTCCTACACGCAGCGGGCAGATGCCTTACGCAGAGGATTCTCCCGGCCCGGATGCACGCAACCACCTGGTTTCTGAGTGCCTTTCCTTAGTGCATTCGCATCAAGAGAAGGCGAACTACTCGTTTTCTGTGAAGGTGTTTTGGATTTTGACATAAACACAGGTGGGCTGTTTTTATTGTCTTTTGGACATTTCAGGACATGGAGTCACTAGTTTCATTCACAGCAGTGGAAGAGAGCGGCAATGTGCCGCCAGGCATGCGACACACTTGTGCACGCTATGGCCCTCAGTCCCCGCCAACGACCCGCAACAGGGCTGGACAGGGTGCTCAAGGCCGCAGCAGCCGCAGGGAGGCGAGTCAACCGCGGAACCGGGCGCACGCTCCTCCACCTCATATTGGTGCCACATTGTGCTTTGTCAAGTTCAGTGCGGACTGACGGCAATGTAAGTAATATGTTGGCTATGGAGTAAGACAGTCTTCTAACACTGACGCAAGTGTGAACGAGAGCACACCCGCAGACGCACGTGTGAGAGCTGCTGACCACGGCCGGCCGGGCTTTGGGCTCGCGCACGCAGATGCTGTGACTGTAAATCGCCAGAAACAAAAATCTCATCGACTGCTGAACCCTCCTCCTCCGGCTGGGGGCGGGGGCACGAGCCTTGTCTGTCACCGCGCCAGGCTAACGCTGAGGCCACCAGGGGCTGCCGTCACTGGGACCTGCGGTCCACGTGGATGCCCTGCCCCGCAGCGGAGGACTGTCGCGTGTGCCCCGCCCCCCGGCACCGGCCGCTCCTTCCTCGCGATCCTTCGAAGCCCCGCCAGGTGGCGCGCTGCGCCGAGACGGGGACGCATCCGCGTGCGCGGCGCGCCCCACGCACGGCCGGCCACGGACCAGCCCGCGACGACGACAAGGCGCTGTCCCGCCGACCACGCCGGGTACTACGAGCAGCTCTAAAAGACTTTACAAGTAAAAATGACAAAATCCAATTGTGTGGATTGTGTGAGCAGAGTTCGAATCTTCTCAACACAACGAAGGGGCTGCCCCGTGATGACAACGGGACAGCTCCGTGGCCGACCGCGTCCCACCGCCGGCTCCCAGGGCGCTCCCAGTCGGACGGCCCCCCAACTTGCGACCTCTCCTTTGCCTCCCCGAGCGGCCCCGAGAAGCGGGCGCTGCTTGAAATAGGGTCACCCCAGCGAGGCGTCAACCCACAAAACCTTTCTAGGCCTCGGACAGCATAGGGGTTATTTTTATAGCTGGAGGGAAGACTGGCAAAGAACTATTTGGACCAAAATGTCGAGAACCTGGTTAAATAATGCTGTTTTCAGATTTATTTATTGTAGAAAAATAAGGCCACATACATTGCTAACAACTTATAATAATTTCCTGAGACTTGTTCATGCAACAGTTTCCTTAGCAGAATACAGAACTGTTCAAAAAATTTAACTTTGTTATGAGGAGTTACTCACTGCATATCAGAGCTATTAGGTTATTTTAGGTAGATGTTTACTTCCCTGTTTTCCCCTTTGCTATAAAGCACTTTTCCTGCCATTATGAATACGGAACCTCCTAGAAGAGACTTGGGAAGATCGTGTGTATGGATCTATCATTCGGCACAAGTATTTCTTGTCCCAGCTTGATTTCAGCGATAGAAGCACATCACCTTTGGAATGCTCACATTTTCAAAACATCTCGACTCTAAGCACATAATTTTATTTTATTTCCAAGTGGGGTGACAGGTTGTAATACTGAAGTAAATTGCTGACAGCATATAAAAATGCACATTTTCGCTATGACGACTGCAATCTATTTCGTATTTATCATCGTCAACAAGGGGAGTTATTTATACTCTCCATATAAGTCACTTAAAAGCCACAGCAGTTAAAACTCCACAGCTTAATCTGGCACCTTCTGAATGTATGCAATCATGTGCAAACTTTAAAATTCAGAAGTGTTGAAAATTTTTATTACTGGACCATCGATATTTACAAGATCTTAATAATATACTTTTTTCTTTTCTTTCTTTCCTTTTTTTTTTTTTTTTTTTTTTACTTTCCAAACAAGTCTGTAATAAGAATGTATCTTGTGATGGGGCTGGAGAGCTTATTTACAGAATGATTCGCTTTCAAAACCTCACAAGACTTATGGGTTTATTCATCGTGTAAGTGGCCAAATAGCAAAACAGTAAAAACTCATGACGACCACGGAGAGGAAGCAGCCGCCAGGTTCCGAGGCCAGGCCTCCTCCAGAACTCAAACCTGCAAAAGGGAAAAAGAAAACACTATCTTGAGAAAAAATAACATTCCTGGTTCAGTTCCTTCTTCATGGCCCACATGCATGCTCTCGTTTCGCTCAGAATGTACGCGAACACCCTCATTTCAGGGCCTTGCGTTTCATTTTAGGGAGTGTCCAAACCCCCATCCCAGGATATCTGCTTCAGAGGCAAACGCAAGAAAATAAAAAGGCCCGAATGCCCAAGTCCGACTGCAGGGCAGGGCGGCCTGGCCAGCGCGTCCGGTCCGACGCGGCCACGGGCAGAGCGAGCGGCCCCCCAGCACGGAGGCGGCGGGTCTGCGACTCCGCTCAGCCTGACCGTCCTGGCTGCTTCGCGGCGTCTGGCGCGGGTCGGGGGACAGGTGCCCGGCCACACGCGTCCTATCTGCACTCCCCGCCTGTGCATGTCCATGGAGAACCTCTGTGACTTCCGTCCCACAGAATGAGTCATGCACAGAAAAAGACAAAGAGTCATTTTTCTTTTTTGAGATTCAAATGAGGAGCCATAAAGCTGTTTATGTTATGTAAACATGTTGCAAATTTCAGGGATTATTTAAAGAAAAATGGACTCATCCCCTCTTGCTCGCAACTGAAAATGGCAACACAGACCTTTCAGTTTTTCCACCCCACATTTAACCAAGAAGCGGCAGGGCCCACAGAGCCGGACTCGGCGCTGCAGCTGGTGGGGACCGAGGTGCGCAGGGCGGCGCGGGCACCACTTACTGGACACCCTGGGGATCCTGATCTCTGCGCTGCGGCTCCCGTCGCCGCCCTCGCTGACGGCCCTCACCTCCACCAGGTAGTCCTCCTCGAGCGGGGCCCGCAGCTCCGCGGACGTGCTGTTGGTTTCCAGGACGTGCGTCTCGCTCCGTCGGTTCTGCCGGTACAGAATCTGCAGAAAACGGCGGAGGGAGTTAGGTGGGCGCGCCCCTTTTCTAGGTTCAGACACGCGTGGGGCGCACAAAGCGCGCAGCGCTGTAAACGGGGCGCTCCTTGGGGGGACATACCCCGCCTACGCCTTTTGTGAAAATGTGGTGTCAAGGAAAAGATGTGCTTTTTTGGCCAATGCTTCTGAAAGGAGAATAGATTCATCTCCGTTAATTAAATAGCTTGAGGCTATTATCTTTGAAGCTTGCCGTGAGAAGTCACTGGTTAGTTTGGACCCATTTCAAATTTCGGAGTACGTGTGAGTGCCAGGAGTGGCTGTCCATTAACACTGATGGAAATTATTCGCTCTGGGTATTGGACTGCACTCCTGTTCGATTCCTTTTATGTTGGTAAATGATCACATCCTGCTGCAGCTGAAGTTCCAGAAATTCTATTTGAATAATATTCTTTGACCTCACTCTCCGCTCGCATTAACGACCCCCATAAACCATCCTCTTCTGACAGCAAGGAGAGTCACTCGAAGACAAATTCTTGCAAACTACAGAGTTTTATTTCTTCACGCTCCACGACACATTATGGACCTCAGGATATAAAACTTTTCAATGAGGAAGTTAAAAACAGCAATGTTAAGTATTTTCAAGGCGTATTTTTTAAAGAGTCCTAAATTTCCATGTGGATAAAACATGTCTCCTATTTGACTGTGCCATTCCTGGTTCTTTAGTAACCTAGTTGGTACTATTAAGGAGAAACGATGTGCTCACCTTGTAGCCCAGCACCTCAGACTCGTTCTCCATGGTCCTCACATGCTCCCAGTTCAGGCATAACTTAGAGTTCGTCAGCTTCCAGGCGATGTTCGCCGGCGGTTGGCTTGGAGCTTTGAAAAGACCACCAAACATCTAAATGAATATTCATTAGCTCATGGTTACTCTGTGATCCATCAACACGAAAAGGGGCAAATATGTCCTGGGCGACTTGCAGGGAAGAAGCTAAAGTGTTTTCAGTATCATTGGAGCATCGTATTAATTCTAATTAAAGTAAGCAAATGCATTCAAGTTCCGGTCATGTGGGAATGTCTGTGACAAACCTGTGAATTACTAATGGCTTGTTGCATGTCCAGTATTAATTTAGAAATCGCTGTTGAGTCTGTTTACTTTGTCACATGTAAATCGACAGGGCCCCCTTTGCCTAGTGTTCCATTTGACCATTAATCAATGTGCATGTCAAACAAATTCAGGCTGCAGACTCTATACGTAGGAACACGGAAGGGTTCATTCTTAAGTCTTTTACCCTTCAGTCTTGATTTAGGACTCTGACTGTAAGCAACAACCAATTCAAGGTATTCTAAGCAAACATTTGTGATAACTTGTGAAAGGTATAGAGGAATCTCTCAGAATTCATGCGGAATGTGGCACAGCCTCAGGAGAGACAAAAGAAAATGTCAAGAAGCCAAGCAGGCTCCTGCCGCTTCCCACGGTGGCGCCTGCTGGGCTCACCTTGCTGGGGGCCACCTGCCTATCACCCGCAGTGTGCGAAGGAGAAATTGTGACCATCCACCCACCGTGCCTGAGGCCAGACGCCTCCCCTGGCCAGAGGCCGTCCGGGCCAGAGTCCCCAGCATGAAGCCGGTGACAGCCGTAACTTGTCTGCCTTGGCCCTGCTGATGGTGGCTGAGCGAGAAGCATGGGAGTCATTTAACACAAGCACAGCCGCGAGGGTCCCAGAAGAAGGAATCACCCCGCACGGAGGGACCTCCTGGAAGCCCACACAGTGCCTTTGAGCCCCCTGAAATCAGTGTTGTCTGGGAGGAAGGGGGTGGCAAGCAATGGAGCTGGCCCCCTGGGAAGATTTCACATGCAAGAAGGCGGGAGCCCAAGCCGGGGGAGGGGCCCCGCAACAGAAGCAGGCCGCTCTGCCGGAGCGAGGGACCCCGCGCCGCACCCGGGGCTTCCGACCTAGCGCTTCTCCGCGGCCTCAGCTGCTTCTCCAAGGCCGGGGTCCACACGGTCACCTCTAAGATTTGAACAACTGGAGAGATTAAATGTACGTCAGCTGGAAAGCAGAGGCAAAGATAAAACTACTGCCCAGCAAGATGTGCTTGGCATTTGACTGGCGTCCGTGAGCCTGAAGGAGCACACGACTTAGCGCACGTGACAGCGGCAGGGATGGAAACGCGCTCTTTGGGAGTTGTGACTCAACTGCTATCCATTGTGTGTCCCTGGACGGGCGGCGGTGGGACTGCCGTTGCCTGCGTGCCCTCGCCCCCAACGCCCCGGGATGTCCCTGCTGTTCACCCCGCCGCTTACAGCTCCGTCAGGACACAGCAGACACAAAGGTCTCCCCCGTGCTCCTGCGGGGCTCAGTGCACACTTTCCTGCGGACTTACCGCACTCAGTTGCAGTTACTCAGGCTGTTGCGTTTGGTTACATTTATCAAGAGCACGTGCCTTGCTGAACTCTGCGCCCCCCACCCCCAGCACGTTTCATGGATGTCGAATCCATGACTGCACACTCAGGTGGCTGAGAGACCCGCGCGGTTGTCTCCGGTCCTGTTAGCGATGGCCTGGGCCGCGGGCAGACACGCGGGCGACACCGTGTGGCCGTGCACTCGTGGTACTGCCCTGCAGTGCAGGCTGACTGCCCCGCCCCCCTGCGGGCGCGTGGGCCCCTCGGGCTGGCCATGCCCTCGCACGCTCCTGGGCAATGCAGACCCATTGGCATCAAGGGCCCGAGACCGGCACGTAGCCGGTGGGCGCCTCACGCGTGCTGGCCCGGGCGGTTGCTTCTGCAGGACTCAGACGCGGTGGCCATTGGCTTGTCACTGTTGTCCTTCAGCTGGACCCAGCACGCTCTTCCTAACCTTGCCCTCGGCTACAGAAGAGACAACGGACGAGTTCTCCCAAGACACCACAGTTTTAATGTCTGGCATGCTCTTGTGACACATTTCTCTTCTCGCTGTTCTGCACAACAAAGCACTCACGTCAACAACATCGTACGGTCAACACAGAGAAGCTAGAAAGTCCCTCCTCGGGGTCCCTGGCAGCGAGGGACTCTGAAGGTCTCACCTGCTGCTGTGTCTGTTTTCTGCATCAGCTTCTTGGGATAAAACTGCTTCCGACACTGGGAAGTTATTGGGGAAGCCCAGGCCAGGGACAGAACTGTGTGGCAGGGACCGCGGCCGTGACTCTGAGCATCAGGGGTCCTCGGCACCAGGGCAGCGGGCAGCACCGCGGGCATGAAGCGAGCGGACCGCTGTCGGGGAGCAGCCCGTGGTGCAGCGGGCCGGCCTCTGCAGGGACCAGGATGCTGTTCCTCTCCTGCTGCCCGTCTGGCTTTGAAGAGTCGGCTTTGAAGGCAGAGAGAAGGGCATCTGCCTCCAGCATCTGCCAAGAGGCCTGGTCTTCCCGTCTTTCAGAGGAGACTGAGACCTCCCAGTCTACGTATGTTTTGGCGCTCATGAGATTACACCAGAAATGGTCCTCACTTGGTAGGTGGCGCGTAGTGAAATGTCCAGTATCTGCTCATTCTCTTTCCCGCGGGGCATGGTTACGCACTGCGGTGCCTGTAGCAAAATCAATTTCTCAACTGTGTTCAGAGTGGTTTGTTCCTAATAATTCAGTTCCAAAGTGTGCAAATGATTCGCTTCTTAAATATAATCAGGGTGCATTAAGGTGTCCCTGATTACACCGTTCTTGCCGGAGCGCTTCCCATGCGGTTCAAAAGCCGGAAGCAGCGGTGCCGCCCCAGCGGACCGCCCGGGGCTTCCCCGTCGCCTGCGGCCTTCCTCCTCGTCTCTGTCCGTCAGTGTGTGTGACTGCGGCGTCAATCCCACTGTGTCCGCGTGTTTACAAACGCTTCCGAAGGTTGCGCTAGAAGGTCATCCCCAGAACACGGACGTGTTCACCGTTCTGGCTTCCTGGGTTGCACGAACCGGATTAAACTGAATTGCAGCTATCGAAGATGAAACTGAAGTTTCTGTGGCGCTGAAGAACCAAACCTGGTCACGTGGCAAACACAAGATGTGTGCGTGGACGTTTGCGCCACCTCAGTCAGCGGCAAACTCAACAAACGAGCGCTTTTCTCATTTTTAGGAAACGTTTGCAGGCAATTTCCAAAGAGTAAATCGTTCCCTATTAGTCAAATGACAGAGCGAGGGCAGGCCAGCCTTCCCCAGTGCGGGTCAATTTTTCTGCAGCTGGCATTTATATTCAACTGTGGTTCACACTGTGAACTCAATTCAAAAAACAACTTCTTAAGCCACAGCTCTAAGTAGCAGCAGGGGGCTGACATTTCGGAAAGGCAGAGGATCCTCCGTGCGAGATGAGATGAAGCTTAGTGCCCCCCGCCCCCGTCCCCCTGAGGGCAGGTGGCTGCAGCCAGCGCCGCCCAGCGCTGCCCAGCGCCGGGAGCTGGTCGGCCAGCGTCGGGCCGGGCCAAACCGGGGCGTGCAAAGGGCCTGGGCCCTCCCTCCAGGATGAGCGCCGCTGTTTCCTTTTGCTCTTGGAGGTGATAGAAGAGTTCTCTCGCCTCTCGTTGTACATCCAAATTCTACGTAAGTGATGCCTGCGAGGATCACAATATATTCTCAGTGCCCTTCAGCTGTTCTTTGGGAAAACGCCATTTTCGCTGTGTTGTGACACTTACTATGAATTCACTGGCGTTTGCTGAAAACGCATGCTGTCCCGCCCGCCAGCAACGATGGCATCAAGGATGGCAGAGGCGTGTGTGTGCTGGTCCTTCGGGGGGCACCCCCCCGCCCACCAGCTCCTCTCGGTCTGGTTGTCACATGAAAATCCGTGGCTGTCCCCACACCATGCCCCTGACCTGCTAGCAGCCGCTCGCTCGCCGTCTCCACTGTGCTTCCGGCAATTCATGATGACTCGTCGTGGTGGGATGGAGGGGGTTTGTTTTTTGTTTTTCTTTTTCCTGTTTTAGGTGGACTTTTCCCTAAAAGAGACATTACCTGAAGGCAGGGACCTTGCCTGTTTTAAACTCCACTGAGCACCTAGCCTCGTGCACGGCTCTTGGGAGGTTCGATTTTCCCGAATGATTCATGGAATCATCCTACTTCCCCGCAAAAGCCTCTGTCTCCTGTTTGGTTCATCCGATTGGCAGGGCCCGAGGATTCGCTCGGTGGGAGCTGTGCTCTCTCAGATTTCATGACGGACGATCAAACACCAGACTGAAGACCGAGACGGCGGCGGAGGGCGTGCGCGGGCGCTGCAGGATCCCCGCTGGCCGCCGCTCTCCGACGTCTCAAGGACGTGGGAAATGAAAGTCGGGTGCGGGGCGGCGCTTGGGATCGGGGCTCCCATCACGGCCTCGTTGAAGCCATTTCTTAGAGGGGCCTTGGATGTCCTTCGGTGATGATCCTGGCGCAAAATTTCTGACACGCATTTATAAAGAAAAGGGAAGGACAAAGTAGCTGTGTTCCTACTTTAAGAAATGCAAAGTGAAATTGTCTCGGAAACGGAGTATAACCACCTGTCAGCACGTCCGAGACTTCGCTGCACGGCGGCCCCTCGGGCGCAGTGGGCGCCTGTGTCCCTGCCTCTCAGAGCAAACTCGAGCCAAAGGCGCCCGCTCTGCGTCTCAGGTGAGGACGTGAGGTGGGTTCTGAGCGCGTGCCCTCGGCCTGTCGCAAGAGCTCGCGCCGAGGAACCTGGAAAACGCAAACACATTGGTGGGGAAACCCTGGGAAGCGCAGGGGTAAGTAGGAAAAAAAAGACACAGGCGTGCGCAGAGGCACGCCAGGGGCACCAGGAACGGACAGCACGCGTGTGGCCCAGGCGTGACCGGGAAACGTGGGAAGGCCAGGCGCTCCGGGGCGGGAGGGAGGAGGGACTGGAAGGGCTGGTGGGCGGGTCGAGGGCTGTCCGCACGCCTTTCCCCTCAGCGCCGGTCTCCACAGCTGCGGAGACAAAGCGACCCTGGGACTAGACGGGGCACAGCGCCGTTTCAGGGACGGGAACGTCAGGCGGTGCAGGGTGCGGGGTGCGGGGTATGGACGGGGGCTCTGGAGGGAAAGAGACAGACTGGACGCTGACCGGCGGGGTCGGCAAACCAGCCCCGTGTCCCGGGGGCGAGGACGCTCAGAGGGTCATGTCACAGCAGGTCCGTCCAACAGAAGCCACAGCAAAACCTCTCCGAGCATTTGTTTGCTCATACGCAGGCACTGATGTGCCGAACACGGGATTCGTCTTACTACTTAAGTGAGATGATGTCTGCGGAAAATTACTGTCTGGCCAGAGAGTGCGCCCCGTGTCCTAAGTGCCTCGGGCGGAGTGAGGCCCCCGGCGGGGCCCGGCTCCCAGTTCCCAGGGCCCGGGCTCGGTCGCCGCCCGTGGGGTCTCCACGGCTGTGGTCACGTTCAGGGCCTTGAGAAGGTCCTGGGCTCGCCGGCTTGGTCCGCCCTCGTCCTGGGAGACAGGGAGGCTGGGGGCCAGGGTCCGAGGGAGAGGTCACGCCGCCGTCCTTGCAGCTGGAGGAGGGGGCCGCAGGCCGAGGGGTCTCGGGAGCCAGAACATGCCAGGAAGCGAGCGCTCCCCCAGGGCCGCCCGGAGCAGGGTCTCCCCCATCCCCCGCACCCCCGGCCCTGAGTCCCCGCCCGCCCCTGCGGCGGCGCCTCTCCCACCGGCCGTTTTAAAGCCCCGAGTCGTGGTGATTCGAACAGCAATGGGAGAAAAAGCGGCTCCCGGCCTATTTTCACCGAGACGGTGACACGGGAGCGAAGGCAATGGTGCTCCTCAGAGACGGAGAGATGCGCGTGGGCGAGCCTTCCTGTCCTCAGGCCCCCGTCGCCGACCCGGTCGGGACTCTGAGGCGCACAGGCTGGCAAAAGCTGAGTGTAGGAAATAGTGAAACAAGGTTCCTGGGAAACAGATGATGAATTAAAAGGGCTTTTATTTGCTCCGTTTAGTCAGGAAAGAGGATGGAGGCGAAGGGAACGCGCACGTTCACTTGAAAAGTCTGGCCTCTCCCTTCAGGCTTCCCTGGGCGACACATTCCCGCCTTGGGATGGGATGAAATTGCTCCTTGTGAACCCACGGTTTTCAAAAGATACCTCCTCGTGCTTCGAGGAGGCTGTTGTGTATTAAAGCTCAGAAGAACCACTACTAACGTCCCTGGCGTTTCATCCAAATTCCCCTCAAGCCCATGTGTGGGGCCACGCGGGTCCGCGGGACAACCCGATGGCAAAACCGGCTCCTGGGGGAACACGCAGGACAGGGCGGCGCGAGCCCCCCGGGCCCGTTCCGGCTGCCGGGACAGTGGGCGCCAGGGCGCAGGGAGGCGTTGGCCCTTCGTGTGCACGCACGCACATGTGTATGTGCGAGCACATGTGTGCCTGTGTGTATATACATGGCCGTGCATGTTTCTTTGTCACGTAAATGCTTTCTTGCTCAGGCCTCAGCTCTCCTGACACCGTTCAGTGGGGCTCCACGGGGCCGCAGTGAGAAGACGCGGTTCCTCACCGGCGGCCCTCAGACATCCCTCCGTTCATCGTGATGACAATCCGCGAGCTGTTTAAGTACCCTCCTTGCACATTTCCAGTCACCCTTGATTTTGCCTCAGAAACTGCATTTCCCCCAAGTCTGTGAGTGTAGCATCTTTCAGTCACCGGGAAGGAAACGTTTGGGCAAATTTAAAACCGCCGATGGGCTGGGGGTTTGCATGCAGGTTTACAATCAGCTGAACGAGGACAGTCCCCGGAGGGACGGCCGGAGCAAGCGCCCATACGGTGCAGAACCATGACACCATCGAGCTTGACACGGGGCTCGCGGTCCGGGCCGCACCCCCGCCTCGCCGAGGCCACCCTAGTGCACGCAGGGGAGCTGGGCGCAGGATTGTCGGCGCGAGCCCTCGCCCGAGGCCTCGGCCCGCCCCCGGGCTGCCTCCCGGGTTCCATGGCGCCCGCGGTGCCCCGCAGGAGCCGCAACGACAACGGGGACGGCGGGGAGGACGGGGGGGGGGGTCCACGCACACCCAGGGAAGCGAGGGCAGAGCCATGGTGTGTCTTGCTCTGGCTCAGGTCAGGGGTCCGCGAGGCGCCCACAGTCAGATCGTGGGCGCTGGCGGCTGGCGGCTGCCCGGGGGTGGGGCCGCACGTGGGTAAAGGACTCCGGAATCACAGGCCTAGGACCTGAGGCGACTCCTGGGCTCCCCGTGGACGTGACAACTCTCTGTACGTGGGGAGAAATCTCTATGTCCCTTGATTTTCAAACCGTCTCCTGCGCCTATTATTTCCCAGCACAAGAAGCAATCAGAACACAGCAGTTAAAAGTGCGCGGTCTTTCCTGTTATCAGCGGCTGTGATTCCGTGTCTCAGTCTTTCTCGAATTCAGCAAATTTGTGACTTTTTCATTAGGACTCAGAGACCAAAGAACATGTTGTACAAAGCCCATTAACACCAATAGTTTGTGTTCGTCTATGATCTGTAAGAGTATAAAACGCCATGCAATCACGAAAAATGCACGTTGCCATTCTTCCTGAGTCATAGCTGATCGGACCGGGCCCTAGTCGTCCCCGCGCCTCCTGTCGCAGACTATCCATGCAAAACCGACCCATTCGCAGGGCGGGCAGCAGCGATCAGCCGCTCTCCCTTCCCTTAGCTGCCCCACGCTGGGGCGGGCCCTCGCTGGTCACTCGCTGGGGGACAGAAAGCAGCAGAGGAGTCAGTCATGGGTTTCAGGGTTTCCACGTAAACTAGACAGAGAAGACACCGGGAAGGAAGGACCCGGATTGCCCGGCAGTGCAGGGCCACACGAGAGTGCACCCTGGGACTCAAATGACAAACAGAAGCAGACGGTGCCAGGCTGCTGCTGCGGCTGGCCCAGCCCCCGACCGCCCTCCCTTTCACTCGTGAACAAAGCCCTGTGAGGGCCGGCGCCGCTTGGGCCTCCATTGGGAGCTCGCGGTGCTGAGGCCGAACGATGACGCAACACCGGACGCGCCACGGCTGGGGGTCCGGGGGGGGCGGGGCGGGCGGGGCACCCCAGCCCGAGCCCTTAAACGTCGCGCTTTCTGTGCATCGTCTATGTGTGTGGAATAGTTCTTCTTTTGGAATTCCAGGACCACCAGAACAGCGTATTTTGGTTGTTACCAGAAAGCTTCGACAATTATCCCTGCTGAACAGGCCAGCCGACCGGCCGCCCCGAGCGATCTGATCGGCGGAGCAGTGGGGCGGCGGGGGCGGGAGGCCCGTGCTCCTGGTCACGGCTTCTGTGGGCGCCTGGCGCGGGAGCTGTACTTACGAGACTTTTTGGTGGTGACGTTGACCGGGGGACTCGAGGGCCCGGTCCCGCCCGTGTTGTAAGCTCTGACGGAGGCAAAGTAGAGCGTGTTCGCCTTCAGCCCCGAGATGGTCTTGGCTGTGACGTTCCCGCTGACTCTGACCCGGCCGGCTGAGGGCTCCCTGGAGTCGTCTGTCCAGTAGGAGACCTGGTCGTTGAAACAGAGCGAACAGTCACAGTCGCCCGCAGCCGCCGCCGCCGCCGCGGGCGGGGAAGCAGATGGGCCGGACTGGCGGGGCCTCTCGGGGGTGAATGGGTTATACAGGAAGCACAGGGCCGGCCTAACCTTTACAGGGAGCCGATTACAGAAATGCAAATTCACAATGGACATGAGAGAACCTGGGATTTTTTAGATTGCCAAAATAAAATATTTTGTGAGATATCTGAAGGTGATCAGCTTGAACAAAGGGTATATAGTAGGTCAGACCAACACAGGATTCATACCATCAGGCAAAGACTGCCAGTGTGATGCTTTGCTCTGGAAGTCTTTGACTGACAGGTAAATTAATCAGTCAGCTCATTCCAAGGGTTTCCTATGCACAGGCACTGTTTTAAGCACATTGAAGAAGACACAAGAGAGTAAGGCATGGTACCTGCCTTTGGGTCCCTTAAAACCCCATTACGAGGTCAGAACATATATGTGGGGGGGGGGACAGAGAGCACCACGCTCTAAGACCGCAAAGGGAGGCCACACAAGGGGCGATCAGGGAGGAGGTCACAGGGCGGGAGGCTTGGGATGAGCTTAGAGAGGTCCACAGGGTTCGTGCAGGGGCGAGGCGTTCTGGGGTTGGACGGGCAGAGGCACCTGGCCAATGAGCACAGCTTTATGTTGGGACCAAAGGGTTCATGTGAAAAGAAGAAAAAACAAAACAAAACAGCGCAGGCAAAATTAAGGCAGTTTTAGAATTATACTTTTATCCTAACTCCAAAATAAAGGAATCTGTTACCCAGTCATCATCTCTTTGTGAAATGAGGCCCATAAACAGGAAGGGATTTTTCTCATTCGATATAGACCCTATTTCTAAATGACAGATTTAGGAGAATCCAGGATTTTTCTCATCACTCCGCTGCCTTTTCCAAGATGACATTCTTTGCAAGCCGGCTCCGGCTCGCAGAGCAGGCGTCCCGCGGAGCCCTGCCCAGGTTTAAGACGCGCGGGCGCGAGCCACTCACTTCCCCCGAGGGAGCAAGCAGGGCTGCGGTTTGAACGGCTGAGCGAGATAACCTCTGGTCACTCGTTCAAGGCTGGCCCGGTCCCCTTGTTTGCGTGGAAAGGCCGCTCTGCAGCCGTGGGCGCGGGCTGCCGCGCCCCCAGCAGTAGGCTGGCGTGTGGGATGCGGGACGGGACCGGGAGCCCCTGGCTGCGCAGAGGGCAGGTGACCTCGGGGCTCACCTCATAGCCCAGCACTCGCCCCGTGTTCCCGTTCCAGGCGATGGCCGTCCAGGAAACCTCCATTTCCGAAGCAGAGGAGCTCTGGACAGAAGTTCCCCCTGGGGCCAGCTGCGGCTCTGCCACCCAAGAAGAGACACAACCACCTTTACCGGAGCGGCTCGCGGGCACAGACGCCAACCAGGCCCGGCCCCAGGAGGGCAACTCACCGTCTTCCCCGGAGTAGACGATGGAGGTGGCGCTCAGGGCGCCTTCCCCTTCGCTGTTGTACACGCCCACCTTGACTTCGAAGGGAGAGAGGGGGCTGACGCTCTCGTTTCTGTACACAAACCTGGACGGCTCCGCCGCCGGCAGCCTGTGCTTGGTCCAGGCGGTCGCGCCGACCGGCCGCAGCAGCACGACGTAGCCGAAGTCCCCCCCGCTCTGCAGCTCCTCCGGGACGGGCTTGGGCAGAAGCGACCGACACGGTGAGACTTTACGGGCTGCACAGTGTTTACTGATTAGTCGCCCTGTCTTGTCTAGAGGCAAACATGGCTATTCAACCTGGTTAGTGAAGTCATGCAAAAATATAACACTTCCTTTTGGAATTAGCAAAATGGTCCTGATTGCACATACTCAGGTAGGTCAATGAAATTTCTAAATAGAAAGGTAAAACAGGTGTTATATGTTTCTATTTCTCTCCACAATTATTCAAACGTTATAATAAAATAAATTAGAAGTCTGCCCTGGCTGGTGTGGCTCCGTGGATTGAGGGCTGGCCTGCGAACCGAAGGGTCGTTGGTTCGATTCCCGGTCAGAGCACAGGCCTGGGTTGCAGGCCAGGTCCCCAGCAGGGGGCACCTGAGAGGCAACCACACATGGATGTTTCTCTCCCTCTCTTTCTCTCTAAAAGTAAATAAATAAAATCTTTAAAAAGTAACTTAGAAGTTTGTAAGATTTTATAGGTTAAAATATTTTATATTCATATTTTGATATGAATTTTTAAACTCAGCAGAAAATAGAGTAACCATGTTTTACTTTCACAACATTTTTCAACAAATGCACGTAAGATACAGGTAAATATAGTTACTGTGTAATAACACTGGCTTTAAGACAGACTAGTGTTCCTCAGGCACGGCAGTAGAAAGGGCCTCCTCAACATGTTTAAACCTAAAACTTCATGAGCAGTAACATCAGTGTGCACTTTTCCTGACATTAAAAAGCGGCCAAAAAGAACACTTTGCTAATCCCCATAGACATCTCGTTCTTTAAGATTCATTTCAAACCTAAACTTGTCAAAATTCCAAAACAAAAATAGACATGTTTCCCAAAACTGCAGCTATTTAAACACTACAACACCATAACATAAATGAAAAAGAACTTGTGCTTGAATTTAGATAAATCCTCCACCTGTTTATCAGAAGGTTTTATTTTAAAAGCCATGAAATTTACTTAGTTTCTCCAGAAGAAAACGCTTCCCCCCCTAAAATTTGTCATAGGCTAGTTTGAGCCAGCGCTTGCCGCTCACACCCACCGCCCGGCTCGGCGGCCCTCCTCGCCCACGGCGCCCACCCGCCCCACCGCCGGCCCCGTGATGGGGCCACATGGGGCTCCCCGGCAGTGCCCTTCAAACCAGAGGCACCGTCCTGCCCAGCTCTGTGACCCGCTGCGGTGCCGCGTCTCCGTGCTCCAGAGGGGCTGACGGAGGGGGTGTGCCCCGTCCCCCGGGTACCCGGGCATGACCCGCGGGTGTGCGGGGCCACGATGGAAGAGCTGAGAGCAGCCATCGGTAGAAACATCGCGGCGCTAGGGGTCTGAAGTTGGGGGGCAGGAGACGAGGAAGGCTCTGAGTTATACAGACAAGAGGCCGAACGTAGTCGAGTGTTGGGGGCAAAGAAAAGGAGGAAACATGAGCACAGCATGAGGTGCCGGGGAAGCCGGGCTGGGGGACCGGAGCCGTGACCGCAGACAGGCGCCCCGGCCGCAGGGTCGGTATCCGCTTCCTCCTCTGAGCCGCCCGCAGGGTGGCCGACAGCTTCCCTTCCGCGCCCCTCCCCCGTCGCTTTCAGGGCACCCCGCTCACAGACGCGGCCTGAGCCGGCCCCGTCTCCCACGGGGAACAGCCCCAGCCGCGCGGACAGTGAGCGGAGGGGGAGACCCGGCCCCGAGCGGGCCACCTGCGTGCACCGCCGCCCGCCCCGGGGTCACAGCGGGGCGTCAGGAGTGGCGCGGAGAGACCCGGGAGATTGTCGGCTGGTCGCTCGGTTTGTTTCCGAGGCGCCTCTGGCCGCAGGTGGAACCCCACGGTCAGTTCCCTGAGGAAGCGGCAGGCCTTTGCACCCTTGGTCCCCTGAGCAAGCGGGGTTCCCCGAGGCGTTCCCTCGGAAAGGCCTCACGTGCTCAGTTTAGAGGGTAACAAAGAGACCTGTTGGGGTTCTTCCGTGTACCACATTTTGCCGTGTACAGTGCGCACCCACGTTTTTGTGCAGGTTACACGTGGGATCACTACGCCCGTCATTAATGTAATCGGTACACCCGTGTGTAATGTGCACCGTTATCTTTTCCTCCAAAATTTGGGCAGAAAAGTGCATGTCACACATGGCGAAACACGGTATTCTCCTCGTCCGGGCAGAGGGCTGCCGCGTGACGGAGGACACACGCAGCCACGTCAGGTGGCTGGGCCGGGAGCGTCTCCCTCAAGCACAGGAACGGCTTTGCCGAAGAAGTTCAGACGCTCTTCTGGCTACAAAAGCTATTAAAGATGATAAAGATTAAAGATATAAATCTCAAGCACAGCGTGTCTAAGAACTAAACCTTCAGTATAGACCAAGAGTCAGCAAACTGTGGCCTTCAGACCAAACCTGGCCTGGGGCCCGTTCCAAAAACAGAGCTCTCTGGGAACCCAGCCACGTCTGCTCACTCGCAGAAAGGACCGGCCTGCGATGGGAAGCCGGCGGGGACTGGGCCGGCAGGGGCTGGGCCGGCCTGAGAGGCCTCTCACCGCAGGCCCTGCCGCGGGCCCCGCCCAGGCCAGGCTGGACTCCCTGGGCCCAACTTGTCGGCACGTGTACTTGAGACATTCATCACAAGCCCTTCAAGCTCAGAAGTGTTTGAGGGTATAAATGAGGGTAAGATATGAATAAAGGTATCGTTAATAAAGGAGCTAGTAGTTATCACATTCCACAAGTTAGATAGCACGTCTAGGTTATTAGAAACAAAATGAATAAACACAAAATACACATTATTTGGCACCGGGGGAAAGAGGGGGGCTGTTTACTTCTGGCGGGGGCAGCAATCTGGGATAGTAACGGGCAAACTATCACTTAGGAACAAACGAGTGGGTTGTGGCTGAATCCAGGATGAATCTGAAAAACCAGTCAGTACGGCCACCCGCTCACGAGCAGTGCTGAGGCCTGAACGGTCTCTCCCCGACGTTCCTCTGCAAAACGCAGCGCAGACGCGTCGGGACGACACCGTGTGGGCACCGGCCTCCCATCCTTCCGACCAGACTCAGGCGTCTGGGCGGAGCTCATTTTGCGCCCCTGCGGCGCCCGCTGCTGCAGCAGCCTTAGTGTTCATTGGCTCAGAAGAGCTCCCGCGCCTTCTGTGGCCCCGCGCAATGCGTGCGCCCCCCCCCCAAAGGCGCCCGCCCCTTAAGGAAGCTCGGGCTGGAGAGTTTGGCTCCGTGTCTGTGTGGCTGGAACGAACGGTAAATGGGGACGGCATCTGCGAAGGGAGCTTCCGGAACCTTCTGCATCGCTCTATGATGCTCCAAGAAAACCCACGGAGAGGAAACGACTTGAATGTAATTTTTAAAACTAGAGGTCAGCCAATGTTTTCTGCAAAGGGCCAAAGAGAGAGTGCGTGTGTGAAGCACCGGGGGCCACACGGTGTCTTGCAGCGGCACGACAGCCGTCCTGCGTGGCACATGCGGGAATGCGGAGGGCGGCGGGCACTGGTTGGGAGAACCGCGCGCAGCCCGGCCCAGCCGGCAGGCCGTGGTGGTGGAGTCTTGCTTTGAAGACCAAAGGCACAGGAAATCGTGAAAAGACGTGACTAGTTTTGGTAATTCCTACCCGCCACCCCGCCACAGGCCGCGCAGGAACCGCTCTTTAGCAGGCGCGCGTCATCTCTGACCGTGAGGGGAAGAGGCGCGGCGGGACGCCGGGCCGGTCTGCCGGCTCGCGGGGGACAAACGCCGACGGGCCGCGGACGGACGTTGACCTGGAACCCGCCGCGCGCCGTCCCTCCGAAGCAGCCGCCCTCGGAGCGGCACGTGGGACTGGCTGTTTGTGGGGACTGCGCTGGGAGGAGGAGGGCAATTTGGCGAACCTGCTGCCCGTCCTGAGCCGTGACATCGCAGGGGACGCCGGAACCTGACCGAGGACCGAGAGGAGGAACAAGGGGGATGGCCCTGGGCCAGCTGCCGCTCTACGCACAGATGTCCTGCGTCCAGCCCCGGACGTGTCGCCCGGGAGGGGCACCGCCGACGCCCGCCTCGCTCTGGGAGCCGCGTCGCGGGGCTCCCCGCACAGCCCCTGAGGCCGTCTGTGCTCCACAGGGGGGCGGCCTTGCCGCGGGCCTCTGAGACCCTGTCTTCCAGGGCGCACCCACCCCCAAAACCGAACAAAACCAAAACACCCAGAGAACTGCGTCGCCAAACCCCAGCCCCCGGAGCCCAATGGCAAGAGCACCAGCAGTCAGACCCCCTTCTCCCGACGCCCGCCCCACCGCCCCGGAGCGGCTGCCGGTCAGTGTGATGTGGAAGGGGGCGCGGGGGAGCAACTCCGGACGAAGCGGGGCAGGCCTGTGCGCGCCCTTCCCCAGCGTGGACGTTCCAGGCTGAGGCCGCCTGAGCGACCGAGATGAGAAACTTGAGGTTGGTTGGGAGTCTGAATTTGATCGTTATAAACCAGGCTGACTTGTTTTTTCTCAATTTTCAGCTGAGGACTTTTTTGGAGGGAGAGAGTGAGAGAGAGAGGGGAGAGAGACATCGACCGTTTGCCTCTCCCATGCGTCCTGATGGGGGGTTGAACCGCAACCCGGGGACCAGCCCTGACCAGGAACCGCGCCCCCAGCCTTCTCATCTGGGGAATGACGGCTCCAACCATCTGAGCCGCTCCGGCCAGGGCCAGGCTGAATTTCTCCTTAAGTACAAAACGAGCTCTTATGTTAGTACTCAAGAAAGATGAGCAGGAAAGCTATTCCGTCTGCTCAGCCCTCACCCGCACGTGAGGAGGAACAGGCTGGAAGGGTTCAGAGGGCAACGTGGGAATACAGCTCTCTACCACCGGCGTGCCACTGAGTGCCACTCACACGCCAAGACTAGCTCCCGAGGCAACGAATCAAATCCTGTGCGGTTCACCCAACGCTAATGACAACCCCCTGACCCTGCTTCAGTGCACACGCAGGTTGTTTTTCTTGTATTTGGAAGAGGCTGGTGCCCAGTTAGTCATACGCTGTCATTTCAGCAGAGCGAGAAGTGTGCCCAGTACCTCCTCTAGAGAAGGCGTCATCGGGCGCTGTTCGTGCCATGGGTTTTTACATGCCCGATTTGGATTTGTTTTCCAGTGTTCTTCCTGGCCAGTAACGCCATTTCCCTTCAAAATAACTCAGTTGGACAGAAAATTACCTCCCACGTAACGACGAGGTCAGACCGGCTTCCTCCGCCTCCGTGGATGTTTGTTGGGGCCACGACGGGGACTGAAAGCAACAGAGAGAACCGGGTACAGCTGTTAGGAGAGCACGTCCCCCCGGCAGTGGTTCGTTGGCAGGCGTCACCTCTTGGGAGCGCACGCAGGCCTCTGCGAGCTTAATGACCGTGACCGGTGCCTGCCCACACCCACGTCCCTACGAGAGACGCTGCTGCCCATGGGCACCCGGCCCCCGCGGCGACCAGGGGTCAAGTGGCGCCGTGGATCTGCCGTCACTGAGCACCTTCCGCTACTTGGCAGAGGGAGGTGGCGTTCAGATGGCGCTGGGATTTAGTGCCGAGTCTGCAGCGGTGCTGTAAACAAGTTTCTGAGCCAGATATTAATTAAATCTTTCTCTTTCCAATAAACAAACTAAAATAATTTTTATTTTTGGTAGTTGCCAGGGTGTTTGAACATTTAAAAATAAATTACGTGACATGCGATTCAAACAATTCCTGTTTTGTGCCTGCATCTCAGGTCTCATGACAGAGCCAACGGGCGCTTCGCTTAACTCTCCGCTCCCAAAGCGCGATTGCGGGGAGTCTCTCTGTTTCACCCCAGAAATCTGGGGTGGAATATTCCAGATGCTGATCATTTTCATGAGCTGGAAAAAATAGGCCCTTCAGCTGTATCCTTGTGAGAACTACTATAATGAATACTTTGAGGTAAAATGATAAAATTGATGACAATTGTGTGTGTGAGTGTCCCTGTGTATAATCGGATTGGGGTTTTATTTTTTTATATGTGGAAGTGTTTAAAAAATCCTCTTCTTCCTGAAATAATGACAAAGTTATCCTAAATCTGATGGATAAATCTGCAGGATAAGCTTTTTAAGTGCTGAATTATATGCAGTTATCTATATTTGGTCATTTTTGATCACTCTCCAGAGTTAGGTGGAGTAACTGGTATGTTTGTTGATGGAAAATAAAATACATGAGATTGAGCTGCTCATTTCAAAATTTTCTTCCACCATGGAGACCGCAGAGATGCATCTGGATGATTTGCTTTATTTATTCCTATTTCACACCGGTGTTTAACTTAATGACAATTATAACCTGATCATCCTTTTCAACAGTAGCCCAGGCAGACCTTGTCCACCTTCCCATTTAGGCCGACCCTCATGTGGTCTGCTTTGATTTCACAACGCACCTAAAGGACGGCCCTGGGCCTCCCCCTCCACGCCCTTCCTAAGTCTCCCAATGCCGCTGGCCGAGAGCAACGTGCGTGAGTCAGTGGGCTCCGCAGCTGCCGGTTTCTCGTACCCAACAGCTCACAGTAACACTACTCGCTACTTCAGGACTACACAATGGTTTACACGCATACGGAAACTATTTCAACTATTTACAAAGTGTTGGGTATTCCAGGGAATAAAGTTCCTTCCTTTATTCAGTTTTCAAATGAGCCATCCTAACCCTAAAACCATAGGGAAACTTGTCTTCAATGACGCAAAACAGAAAAACACGTGCTTCCCTGAGATTCAGAGACTCGGGGTGATCCTTACGGACACCAGCCTCCCTCTGCCACTCAGGCGAGTGTCCACGGTGAACGGGGCGGGGGAGGGGCTCCCATGCAAACGCTGCTGTGGAAACTTCAGAGTCAGCCCTGCCCAAAGCTCCCCTCACACCCGTCCGTGGAAACAACCTGAAACCACAGCGGAGGTCCGCGCGAGCTGCGCCCATTCCCCTCGGCCTGGGCTCGCGCCGGAACGCCGGCATTTGCACGTTTCCGGAAGCCTATCTCCTGCTCACGTAGGACAAGGCCAGCGGCTGCGGAGTGTGCCTGCGGCCAAGCTCGGGACCTGGGTTCAAACCCTGGCTTGGCCCAAAACAGCAGGCTGCCTCCGGGCCTTCCCTTCCAGCTCCGTGGGATGAAGGCCTCTCCTCTCGGCGCTCAGCTTCCAGGGGGATGAAATCCTCAATGCTGAGAAATTTAAGTGCTGGGGGCTGTCGGCTGTGTCGCCTGGCAGCTCCTGTCTTGTGATAAAAATACCAACATGATCATTGGTTTAAGTGATGACTTATTGACACCTGGCATTTGTGCGCCTATGACCGAAGTTGTTTGTCAATGAAGCGACAACAGGGTGACCCTCCGTGATGTGGCCGAGTGAGAAGGTGAACCTCACTAGCCACGCGCAGTGAGTGGACCTCACGTGACCCTGCATGTGGCGGTTTGAGAGAGGAACAGGGGGACCCCAGAGGAGAACAGGCAGGACGGAGCTCCCTTGCCGTCCGCTCGTCAGTGCATCTGTTCGGCGATGAGGGGACTCGCCTCGTGTGCGGGGGGAGGATCGGACTGCTGCCCAGCGCGGCTGCGCTGAGGTCCCAGCTGAGGCGTCGCGGGAAGTGCCCGGCCGAGCGCCCCAGAGCCTCAGCGAGCTCCCGGCTACGTTTCATGAAACGAGCAACAACGTGCCTGCATCCACACACCTACAGGTCCGCTCTTGGTTTTGACTAGAAAACAGCAGAGAGCACAGCTTCTGGAAACGCTTTCTTCACATGTCTGCTGAACTCCTATCATCTCTTCTGCGACGCTCTTACTTGGGAGAAAACACACCTTGCCTTGTGCACGTAAAATGACAAGGTGAGACTGCCTACTGTCTCTGATTTGGGGCCGGACACATCACCAGACCTTCTGCGTGTGTTCTGCAGGGCGTTTGCCACGCGGGGCTTCCCGCGGCCGGAGGAGCCGGGCGGGGGTTCTTACCCGAGGCTTTGGTCCTTAGCAGCTCTGACGGGCGGCTTGGCTCGCCGATCCCAATGCCGTTCCCGGCAACGACACGGAATTCGTACTCCACCCACGGACTCAGCCCGACCACTGTCGCGTTGTACGTCTGACCGCTGAGAATTTCTGGAACTGAAAGGAAGGGGACACTAGGTAAAATCGATCCATCCAACGCGCCCTTTGCCGGACGTCACCGCCCAAACAGCTGGGTCCCTTACCGGTGGCGACCGCCTGCCAGCCGACAGAAAACGGCGTCCGGGCCTGAACGGCAAAGCCTCGCACGGGGCTGCGGTTGTCGGCGCCCGGCCTCCAGCTGAGCTGCGAGGTGGTGCTGGACACGTGCTCCACTCTGACATCCTGAGGGGGGCCTGGGGGGCCTGGGGAATATGTTGAGTGACGACCGTGTAGGAAATCAGTACATTCATGGATTTGGGAGAGCGGCATTAGACTTCTTTCTGCTACGCTTAGAAAATAAAATACTGAACATAATGTATTTTAGCACATTACTTGAGATAAAGCCCCATTAATTCAGCTTACACGGTGAGAGATTAATTTGGAAATGCTCCCTTTGAAGATTAGAAAATGGCAGCCATAGGGCGCTTGAATGCCGCCCGATAAGAAGCTCATCTCCGGTGCTGAGAACCGCCCCGTCCGCCCCTCGCCAAACCTGACGCTGAACGCGGCCGGCACGGGGACGGCGGCGGCCTGACGGGCGTCCTGCGCGGGTGGCCGGCGGCTCTGTGTCCCGCGGGCTCGCGCGGCCGGCCGCGCCCGCCGTTCCTGAGGACCGCACGGGCCCGGGCAGTTCGCCGTCCGCACCCGCCCCCCGGGGCCCCGGGGGCTCGGAATTTAGAAAATTAAAACCAAAACCAAAACCAAAACCAACTTTCCTATTTGTCTCACGCGTTATCACGACGACGTGGCTCCTCAGGGGCCTGCGCTTAGCTCCCCAGCACTTCCGGCCGCGGCACGCGCTGCGCTCGCCTGTCGCGGCGCCTGCACTCACCTCTGACGATGACTTCGGCCGCGGCAGACAAGCGTTCCAGCGCCGTCTTCACCAGGCAGAGGTACCTCCCCGAGTGGTGTAACTGGATATTCCTTATCATCAGATCTCCGACGGACTCCTGCAGACGGGACGGGTGGAGGGAAAAGCGGGAGCCCGCTCAGGGGCGGCGAGATTTTACAGCTGGACAAGCACTAAACGCGGGGCAGCCAGGACGTGAGGACACAGGGGGGCCTCCCTGTCGCTTCCTGTATTCGATCCCTTTTATCACCCCCTTTATTGCCATGGCCCCTAGACCAGAAGCATTTCCGTGAAAGACATGAAACCAGATAAAACAAAGACAGATGCAGCCTCATAAGCAGACAGCGGCCACCCACGCGGACAAAGGCGGGGAGGACGATCACGGAAGGCGTGGGTCCGTGTCAGAGACGCGAGTCAGCCTCCTGGGCGCTTCCATTTTCCAGCGACTTACCCCGCCGACCCTTTCGAAGTGGGCCACTCCCTTTCCTAAGTCGATGATGTGTTCATTGAAAGACCAAGCAAATGCCACGTCCACCGAGGGGTCGCGAGACACCTGGCAAGACAGGACGATGCTCTCGCCGACGGTGACGTCCATCGGGGACGGCGGCACCGTGAGGACGGTCGGCTCTGCGGGGAAAGGCCGCGGTTACCGGGACAGCTTACCCCGCGCAGCGCGGGCGCGGAGCCCGTCCTCCGAGGGCGAGGGCGTGCGGCTGCTTGGGCGGCGCGGGCGTCCCGGGGTCCCGCTGCCTTCGGCAGGACGCATTTCACTCCCTTTTTTCAAATACTGCTGCATCGATCCGCTTGGCTTATTACTTTTAATAAAACGAAATGCACGGCTTAATTCATACTTCGTATGAAAAAACGTTTACAATAAAAGGTCCGTGGCAGTATTCCGTGCATGGAGAACACACACCGTTTTTCCCCTAGAATCCCAGCCACGTTGCACTCCACACGCTGCTTACTGCTCCGCGCGGCCTATGCCGGCGCCATACACTACGGCCCAAACTGCATCCCTAAGACGACAGCGACAGTGGTGGATGTAGGGGCTTATAATTTTAGGTTCATGTTGACGAATGTGAGCACAACACATTCTATTTCTGACGCAGTTGCGATGATCATTTCCCACGTTAGCTGGAGACGCAACATGCAAAGTTTTCTCTTTTTACCCGGACTTTGCAGTGTTAGAACCACGCATCTATCATATAAAAAGCCTTCCCTCCAGAAATGTCAGTCACAGCATCAGCACTTTCTCTACCAGTCCTCGTGCTCCGCCCACCAGGCTCAAGGACAGCGCCCAGGTGTCCCGGCCAGGTGTCCCATCAGTCCTCACTGTGACAACCCCGCGTCGGAGTCCCCGCCGGCTGCGGCCCGGACCCCACAGCGGCCACCCAGAGACTGAGCCACGGGGGCGGGGCTCGGGCAGCAGGGACATGCGTGCGATGCTATTTGAAGGAAGGAACAAGGACTCTGCTTCAGTCCATGAATGAGTTCTTAGCATCTATTTCAAGTTCTTGAGTAACTCGAATATTAGAGAGGCGTTTTAAGGCCATTCAGCTCCGTCCCCAGGGCTGGAGGACCCCACAGGACGAGGACAGGAATGGCATGAACCCTCCCAGCTACACACGTGTGCATGCGTGACACTGGGCTGTCCTCAAGCAGCCCGAGGGACAGCCAGCTACAGAGGAGAGACATCGGCTATGCTAGACTCTACCCCTGGGCAGACCGCGAAATTCTTTAAGCCCGTTTCTCTGGGGGAAAAAAAACCACAGAGGGATAGGTTAATCATTGTATTTGGTATAATTTTATTCTCCTACACATTCCTTAAGTATTTGTAAAAATTTTAGTCCACTAGTTAAAAAGCTTTCGGAGTGCATGAGAATTTTCTGGAGAGTGCGTTCAAATGGTGAGTTCCTCAGCTCCCCCAGAAACGCTGACTCTGGCTCCCCCGGGGCCTGGGACCTGGGCTTCCCCAGAGGGTTTCCGTGTGGCCGGGCCAGGGCGCAGGCTCGGGGAGAGCGCGCCTCGAGATCTGACGCCTGACCCTGAAACTTCTGCTTCAGGAAAAGCCAAGCCAGGTAAAATATGCAGTCAGAAAGCCTCTCATGCTTTGAAACCAGGATAAAGTCATGCCCAAGAACATGTTATTGGTTAGTAATACATCAAAGAAATAAATAACAGCTTCCCGGGTTACTTAACTGAGATTAATTTTGCATGCTGTATCAGCTTTTAGAGATTTATAGTACATTTTATCTTGTTAAAAAGTCTAATTCCTGAATTTAAAAAAAAACAACTTCTTAGCATTTATTATTTAACTTTAGGTTTTCTACATCTCCTAGATTATGGAATGTGTTTAATCCATCTTGCAGTATCAGGGATTCTGAGAAACAATGTTTGGAAATACCGCTTCCATGGGAGAAAGTGATTAACATACATGTGAGCATGTATGTGTGTGCATTACTGTTTTAGTGCATATATACACAGAGAGATGCACACACATATTTAGGAGACAATCGCCCAAATATAATTTAGTAATGATTCTTAATTTTTAAAATAAGGACTCCAGTTTTGTTGCTATCTCAAAAAGGCTCCCTCACCTTTTAAAGATACGTTCAGGAATATTGACGATGAAGTCATGCGGTGTTTGGGACCCGCCGCTACCCGTCTGGGGCGGGCCTCGGGGAGGGCGGTGAGGGCGCAAGGGGCACAGATTTGGACACGAGCTGCTGACCGTCGGCGCTTTCTGAGGAGCGCGCGGAAGTCCCCGCTACTGCCTTCTCTGCTTTTCTGTGCTGGTCGCTTTCAGCAGCAATGAAGACACGCACAGGGAAGGAGGGCAGGAGGGAGCGGAGACAGGCCAGGGCTGGTGGCTTCTGGACGATCGGCCTACGGCTAAACGGCAGCATTCGGAAGAGCCCATAAAGTTACAGAACTTCAACGTTTACCCTTTTCAGGCTATTTCGGTGAGATAAAAATCATAGGAAAGGGACTTGAGCTTACAGTCCTATCCTTACCGAGTATAATGGAAGGTTTAATAAAATAGATGCTGTTTCAATGAATGGCTTTACCCACATTAGCATTGTTCATAGTGTATGCTGTTTCCAGAACACATCTTTGGTTACGAGCGCCTCAGGAGACATGAAAACTAATTATTGTAAAACTTTTGTCAGAATTGCTTAGTGTGACTTCTTTAAACACCAGCGTGACTTGTTCCTGTATTAGTGGCCAAACGCACTTTGACACATACCATGACCCCTAACGGTTTTTGCAGAAGCCAAGGGCTGCTGATCCAACGTGAAACTGGGCTCCTGACCATCCATAAAATGTATTTTTGTTTGTTTTGTTTCTTTTTCTTTAGTACCATCAACTCGGTTGAAACCTCCATCTGTGAGTGACACTCCTTTGGCGTCGCTGTTCAGAATAATTACCGCTCAGGTGTCTCTGAAGTTATCTATTCCTCTCAAAAAACGGAGAAATGCGTGAGAAAAATCACCGAACCTTTCTCCCTCTGTTCACACGTGTGATTCTGCCTTCATTTGTCTCTGACATTATCGGAAATGTTGCTAAGATACCAATATAAAGGAAACTAGTGTATAAATAGCACTTCAAGCAGGTGACAAAATTCTCCGATATTTTCTCTTGCTAGTTAACTTGTGAGGACTAGAAATAAATACTTTTAAGATGTGGTCCTCCTGCGAATTCTTCAGATCTCAACGCATCCTGCCTATTAACATGTTAACCCTTCGCGACACTCAGTTTCTTCTTCCATTTACAGGCTGCATTCTAGAATCACATTCCTTCTAAATATCTAAGCTGCGTTAGCATTTTCACGCATATTTGAAAGGGATGGAGCCTCTCAGGTTTTGTTTGTTTAAAAGCGTCTGTATTTTGTCCTTGCAGGGGAGGATATTTTTGCCAGGAACACAGTTCCTACCGGTGGTATTTTTCAGCCCTTTGCGCGGGTCAGTCCGCTGTCTTTGGATTCCTTCACGTCTGCTGCCGTTTCTACTTTCCGACGAGGGTTGTCCTTCAGGAGACAATGTAGCTTTTCTACAGGACGAGCTTTCTTCCCTCTGCGGTCACCACTCGGTGCTTATTTACCCTTCCCTTTGTACCTTCCCGGAGTAGGATGCCTGCTGTCATTTTCATTTTTCTCAGCCGATGGCAAATATTTCTTCAACTGCTGCCGAGGCCTTCCTCTCTCTCTCGCGTCTCCAGACTGTGAGGCGCTACACCCCCCCCCCATCCCCCAACTCAGCACGTCGCCCGAGTCCCTTCGGTCCCCGGCTCTCTCTGTGCGCTGCAGCCTGGACATTTTCCGCCACCCCCTCCCCCTGCGGCGCTCCTCTTGTCGGCAAGATCTAACTTTGCATCAAATCACTCTGTCGTGCTCTGAATTTTACCTGTTTTATTTTTCAGCGCCGGAACTTCCCACCGATTCTTATAGGAGGCATTTCTCTTCTTAAATGTTTCATCTTCTCATCTATTTTTGACCGTCTTTAATCACAATTGTTTTAAAGCCCTTGTCTAATAGCTTCCATATCGCGATCAGCTGTTGCTGGGGGTGGATCCTTCTCTGGCTCGGACATTTGTTCCTGGCTGCCGCTATCTCTGGTAGCATTTTATTGAACACCAATTCCTGTAGGTCAAAATTGAATGTGTTTATTTAATTACAGTTTTCCAAAGACATTCACTTTTTTCAAGGAGGCCGCTGAAAACGAACTGGATCCAGGTGGGAGCTGATACGAATTGAGTCGGATTCTCAGGAACGTTAGGGACTGGCTAGTTTTGTTCTGTTGCTATTGACGGGGACGCGGTCCTTCAGGGTCCTCGGCTCAGGGCCGAGCTGATTAGCAGGCCTCGGTCCGCGGCGCTGTTCTGAGCCCCGGTGCCTGTCTTCCTTGCACTGAGAGACAACCGGCATTTCCGCTTCGACACCTTTGCTTTCTGTTGGCTGTCTTGTACTTCTCATTCACAAAATCCAGAAACTGGCAAACTGCTGGGGGAAGGGCCACGGCGAAGTCAGGCTCCCCCGGCTGCGCTTTGCTTTCCTCCAGAGAATTGTCCCTCACGGTGCAAACACCGTGGCTACGCTCACACTTTCTTCATTCCTTTATTGGCATTTATAACAAAAACACACTAGCTGTGCTTGTGGTGGGTAACGGGTGTGAGGCTGTTGGGATAAGGCTGCTTCAGCGGGTCCGGACAGAGGTCTCTCCCATGTCGTTCCGGGACACGGCAGGCTCGGGCGAGAGGGGCCGCCGGGGCCGCTCGGCGCGGGAGGCCGAAAGGGCAGCTGGAGGGGCCGCCGGCCGCCGGCAGGAGCGAGGCCCGAAGGGCCCCGGGCCAGGCGCAGAGACCCAGGCCTGGCAGCCCCCCCCCCGCCCCCGTCCCCACCCCGCCGGCTCCGAGGGTGTGGCTGCAGGTCCTTCACTCGCCAGGCTGGAGACCAGGGGCGGGAGGTGGGGATGTTGTCCTAAGAAAGAAGACCCGAATACAGCACCCTTCCGAGTCTCCCCAGGAACATCCGCCCCGCGTCTCAGCGTGGCGTGCGATGCGGCCACCGCCCCACACCCGCTCGGGGCCCGTGGGAGAGCTGGCTTCGCCCCGTGAACCTGAGCAAACAG